AGAGGAAAGTGATGATAATAATGAAGTTGAAGAAGTTGGCATGGAAATTTTGAAAAAACATTTTCGATGCTAATATTAGTGAAATAGCTTCGGAAGATGGTGATGAAGACGAGTAAACTGCAGCATCGACATCGCATGACAAACGTAAGAGGCAAAAAATGTGTGACGCGTCAAATAATTCTGAATGGAAGGCGGGTTTTCACCAAATCTATTTCAGTTTGACGTCAATCAATTTCAATTTGGGTCTACTGACTTTTGTAAGTAGTAAAATATTTCTTATTTAGATGCTAAAAATATGTACATTAGGAACTAATATAGTCTTGTGAAAAAAAAACTTCCCCTGAAGGTGCACATGAGCTTAGAATAACCCACCCGTCACTAGGTTAAACGACACTCGAGATTCATTGGTGCTCTAGGAACCAAAATCAAAGAAAAAATTTCCCATTCCTATATGAACCGAATGGCGTGCAAACAAAATTACTCAATTGTTTCTTATTGCTCAGAAAGGCTTCTTAAGATGCCTCCCTCACGGTGGAACAGCATTTGGATTTTTCAGCATGAAACGCCTTTTTATTTATTGGTCTTTTAGACAAAGAGTCATAAGCATTAAATTACTGAGGATTTTCCTCTCATGAGATGCCTAGATGGTCTGACCTAAGAAAAAAATTAACTGTGACCTAGGTATGGAGCAGATTCAACACGTGAGGCAATGTGTGACTGCAGGGATACTTATTACGGCTCTTCCACATCTCCCTGCAAGGAGCCCCGTGGCCCAGCTATTGAAACATGACACGTGACAATCTACTGGGTGTCTAGAAAATAACTATCATTTTTATTGAATATATCTTCGGCTGTAGTTGATACTTGAATCAATTCTTCACCATTAAAAACACATTGCATTTCATTATTTTCCCCACCGGTTCAATTGATTCGAGCAGGGAATAGCCGCAAATTTGACAGTTGAAGAAAGATCCCAATTTCAACACGGTAAGAAGTACGGCGGTCCGCCGTGCAGGTACAAAGGTGGTGGAGGTCAAAATATGGATGGCACGCCACACTGAGCATCAGAACTATCAGGAACTGCCATGGGAAACTGATAACAGTTTCTCTGGGCGACGTGTCGAAAACGCTGGAGGTTAAATGAACCTGTGAAATCACTACAAACAAAATGGCATTCAATGTATTTTTTCATGGTGAGGAACTGATTCAAACACAACTAAAATCGAAGATATCGTTAATTAATATGTTGCAGTTACTTTCCAGACACCTTGTACCTAGTCCTGTCATAAATGTTTTGTTACAAGGTTTTTTTTTTGTTATAACACTGTTAATATAAAACAAACGCTGTATCTGCTAACAGCATTTACTTCTCTTCATAATTACTAACAGGTTACAGAAACATCATTCAAAATGTCCACCCCTGGCCTTCACACATGACTTTAAACGATCAGGCCACTCATCGATGGCAGTACGCACCACGTCCATTGAGATATTGGCTGCTGATTTTGCAAGGGCTCGCTTGAGACTTTCAATATTTGGATGTCTTCTGTGGCAGGCCATCAGCTCCAACTCTGCCCACAGTTTGTAGTCCAGTGGGTTCAGGTCGGGGTTCCCAGATGGCCTATATGAGGCCTTGTTGAACTCGGGGAAATTGTTGGTTAGCCACTCCTGCGTTGTGAGCAGGTGCAGAGTCTTGCTGGAAGATCCAGTTGCCCCCATTGAACATTGTATGGCTGAGAGGCTTCACTGTCTTCTCTAAGACGTCTTCCTGGTACACCTTGGCCGATGACTCCTTGCTCGCAAAAATGCAGTTTGGTGACACCCTCATAGCTCACCCCACGCCAAACCATGACGGAAGCAGGATGGTGATCTCTCTCCACCTTATGGATGACTTCGGCAGCTTCCCGAGAGTCGTGGGCATACACTTGGTCATTTAGCCGGTTGAATTTTTCTTCAATTGGGAAGATTTTTTGAAACAGTAAAGAGGATTTTTTGGTGAGAGTTTTGCGCGTACCTCTGCAGCAACACTTTCGATCGCAACCTCCTGATTTCTTTGAGATGGAGTCAGCATGTGTCCTGTGCTACTTCGGTAAACACCCATCCTTAGGTCTGATTTAATCAACCGAGACATGCTTCTAATCGAGATGGCCATCACTTTCTGCTTGCGGAGAGGATTTCGCCGAATCCTGTTGCTAACTGCTTCGATGACTCGTAGTGTTCTGGCAGTGCGAGGACGCCCAGATCTAGGGTGGTCTCGTACTCCCTGAGTATCATTGTAACGTTTGATAGCTCGTTAAACAAAATGCCGACTGATTCCAAGTGGCTGCAAAGTCTTGAAAATGGTTGCAGGTTTCTGTCCCACTTCGTGCAGGGCAATCAATGTTATGCGATTCTCTTTGTCACCCCATTCCATGTTTACTGCACGCAACACAACAGCTAAAATGTTACCAAACAATACGGTGGATAATACACTGCACGATTACTAGGTTACAAGATTCTAGCTTCTTTAGCTAGAATGCGAGGAACATGTAAATCTTGTAACAGTATTTATGGCAGAACTAGGTATAATGACAGGAATCCTTTCCATGGCATATAAGTCAAGTTGAACTTGCGATGTTGGGTCTTTTGATCCTGGACCCCTTGCATTCTAAACTTTCCTTTAATGGAGAAGCATTGAATAAATCCAGAAATAAGAAACATTAAATAAACACTTTATTCTCTTTGAGTCAAGAGGAAATATCACAAAACATGCAGAGCTATTCATCCCAAGCGCTTTCTCAAAATGTGTGCTCAGCTGTGATCTGAACTCAGAAATCTCTGGCGATAAGGAAGAGAATGATAACAGGCACACATGGCAACATAACTACAAACACTGCCTAACTAATGGGCCATCTCCTGTAAAAAAAAAAAAATTTTTAAACAAAAGACAAATCTTGTGAGCAGTGAAAAAATGGAAGTAGGATCTACTGTTACAGATAAACACTTCCAGTTGACTGAATAATTAAAAATACAGGGAAAGGACGACCTTAGCGATAACAGAAATAATCTCCATATCGCTTCAATGAGAGAAAGAATGACATTCAGTTCATCTCCCTCACCCATTTCAACAGAATCCTGGAGGCATCCATATCTATACCAACAAAATCATTACTGGTAACTATTTGGCCATAGTCTGTATGCTGTGTTTCACAAAAAAGATCACACTGGACAAAGGTTTCTGAACTTCAACAAGAGGGCTATTTGCTTGTCAAGAAAGGACACTCTTCCTTCACCTCTTTCATCATACCAAGTAGGACATGTCAATGACCAATCATGAACACTCAAGATTTTCCATCAATGTTACCATGCAACTGATTTTTAAATTTTCAGACAGTAAATTTCTGTTCTCTAAAGATGAGATAAGCACAAAACAAGACAGTGATCCCCATAAGTGAAAAAAATGACCCAGTAAAATGAAAGAAATATTAGCTGGGAAAACCCAGTCCAGCAGCAAGCCTCCTTTGATTATATGTCCATCATTACTGATAACACAGCCAAGATAATATGAATATAACAAAAAAAGGGAAGAAAATAATGGGAGGTGGGGGAATAGTGGTGGCAGGGATAGAGAAGGGAAGATCAAGTCCACTGAGTCATTCTATAAGTTCTGAATTACATAAGTATTTTATTTTTGCTATTGGATGAAATATTTGCAAACCAAATATATTTCACATTTTCCATGTCTATGACCTGTAGTACAGATTTGGTGCAGTTTCAAGCAGCAATCTAATGATTAAGACTTTATATTGGTACAGTCATCAAAGTGACTTCATACTGGACCAAATGTCATATTCATAGAAATAAAGGGTGCAACAAATTAAAGGTAGCTCATATAACTTATCCATGCAAGTAGAGTTGTAAGGGGGTGATTGAGCATATCCCTAGCTTCTGGGTGGGACAAGTCTGACAAAAATTGTTGTGTTTCTCCATTAGCTCTTTTAGAGTGCTCTGGGAAGGTACAGCTGTACAGTGATAAATTGTATAACTTTTTTTCAGATTGGCAATGCATTCTAATTTTAAAAAGCACTAAGATTTTTGTCTGAGTACTCCAAACCCCTATTTTGAAATCAATATTTTCAGCAATCTGAACCCAACATGGGAAAAAACTGCCCAAGTTCCATGGTCATTAACAGATTATTTGACTTTATCCTAAACCGATTTTCAAGAAGCAAAATAGTGCAAGTTGCCCATAGAGCATGACTTTCTGTACAGCTTGTATTTTTGGGCCAATCTGTCCTTAACTAGGATCACTGAGCCTTGGAATTGAATCATTCCAAGTCTGTTTCCACTTCTGCTACATCAAAAAATAGCTTATTCCACTGTTAAGCCCACCAGTGCAGGAGTTACCCATCACCTCATAAAACCTCAAAGATTTTGAGATCTAGGCAAGTCACTAGGGCAACAGAATGGGTTAAACTGATGGTGGATTGGGGTGTGAGATCAGTATTAAAAGGTGTATCTTTGAACCCCACAAAATGAAATATGATGACTCATGCAAGCCCCACCAGAGACAAATGATGGAACAAACACCTATACCTCTTTCTTTCTTTAAAGATAACCATGTGAAAAACCAAGGCTATTACAAAGAGGAGAAGAATGGACCTGAAATACATGGTTCAAGTAAAATACTTGGGGCATGCACCTACTTATTCTTCCTTCTAACAGATGCCACTATTCATATTAGCTTCTGTATCAGTATGAAATCATTTCACTTGCCTGACCAATTCAAGAGCACAGAAAACAGTGAATATGCAGGATCAAAATGTGAATCATATTCTGTAACCAGTGGCAAGCAAACCAACAAAGTAAGTTGCAAGTCTGGCAATTTAGAATTTCCATAAATCTGGTTCAACTTTTCAATGACCTGAGAATTCAGATAGTGATGAATCATTTTAAATGTACAGAATCATTCAAAATGAACCATAGCATAGTTCATCCATCAATTACTTATGTTTAGGAACCTACAGGATCTTGAGGAGATGGCTACCAGCAACTAAAAAAAAAAATGGAACCACTTTTCTGAAGAAGTATCTATAGGTTTGCTGCAGAGAAACAATCTCAATCTGATGTGATTTAAAATTAAGTTTTTACCAACTGCTGCACTGGGGAGAATGAAGAGGAAAACTGGGCTTCTTATCAAGTCAAGAACCTACAAGGAAAAGAGGCCGCTGTATCTCATGTAAACTTGAAAAGGATATAATCACCAAATTGGCCACTGGGGTATTAACTCTTAATCACCAGACATGAACTTATGTCAACTAGTGCCTTCTATTTTGCAACTTTACTCCACTATAGCAAAAACTCAATTGGGGACTTAGGCAACATTGTATAATGGCTGCAAGCTTTCTGCTTTCAAGGATACCATAACAGAACTAATCATGCTGCAGTTTCCAACCAGTCTAATGTTCTTTGGAACTCTCATGCATGGAATCTGTGATTTGAAGAGGCACTAGGTTCTCCACATCCCTTCTGTTGATGGCAGTATTCAACCCATGAGACATGAAACGCATATTCGGGCAGGCCCTATGCAATCATCATGGCAAAATGCTCCACAGTTTTTGCAGATTATCATAGGCTTCTTGTTGCATGGGCAGCTTTGACTGATACCATTACTAGTGGCATTGACTCCAGCTTTAGGAGCCTGAGAACAAGGGAACTGATTCAAAGGATGGACCAGAACCTGAGTGGTCACATCACAGGATTTATGTGATTGAACACTGTTCAAATCACTCAACGATCCTGCAGTGACTCCCTCACTTGATATCACATCAAACTGAGCTGATGGTCCTCTAGCAGGCACTGAGAATCGCTCCTGTTCAGCAACTGAAGAGGACTCACTGGGGCACACCCCAGAAGGACTAGGCTCTGGGTGTACAATTGTGTCACTGGATTTATGATTTGTCTGAGCTGTGGGATGAACTTTGGCTACCTGGGGATGAGACAAATGTATTAAAGCTGTAGATATGGGGGCCATGGGAAGGCGTGGATGATGAGACTGAGGCACAAGGCGAGGTGCTGAAGCTGACACCTGAATCTGATTGACTGGGTGAAGAGAAACACCTGTTAGCCCATTACATTCCAGATTCCTCTCCTGTTTCAAGACACTTCCATGCACTACCCGCATTTCCAGTGGAGGACGATGGAAATGGGCACGCAGAGTTTGGGGAACATGAACTGTTTTAACTTTTGGTGTCACATGGGTAGATGAGGGAAGGGCATCTGAAGTGGGAGGAGTGGCAGTGGAATAAGTGCTGAGCAAAGGAAGGACACTAGATGGCCTTCCTCTTGGCACTCCCCTCATTGCACTTGCCACCACTGCATCAGGTTTTCTTTGAATTGGAAGAGGGCAGCTGGAAGACCGTAACGGTTCTCCATATTGCTGTGGAAAAAAAAATCCAAAAGAAGTTGAATTGACTAATCTTATGTGCTGGCATGTATAGCAATTCAGCACACCATACAAGAAGTTTTCCTTCTCACCCTTAGCCTTTGAAGCTCTTCCAATCTCATATGCCTCATCTCCTCCTCAGCCATGTTAGTCAAGAGAGGTGAAGTCACTCCAGATACTACTGAGCTAATTCTCTGGTTATTGGAATGAACAACTTGCAAATGTTCGGAGGAAGTGGGATTTCTCCTGATCTCAGAGAGAGCACTGTCTTGTACACCATCTTGAAAAGACTGAGTCAGCAGAGGCTGTCCACGGTTCACATTTGCCCCACTCTTCATTGGAGAAACAGGAACCACAGCCCTTGTGACTCGAGTCCCCATTACTGTGCTAGAAGTTCCAATACTGCTAACTCTTGTCTTTGGGCTGCTGGTAGTGATGGTGGCTGTTGGCCAGGAGGGAGCAACTGTTTTTGATTCATTGATGGCTTTCATCACGGGAGGGGGGCAAAGCTGACTTTGAAGTGCTGCTCTATTTGGACTGTTTTGGATCACAGCTGCACATATTTGATAAGACCTCTCCAGGTTGACCTCCCCCTTTGGTTCCCGGTTTGATCGTTTCACCATCATATTCTGCAAAAACAAGCACCCTGATTCAGTCTACAGGCGAATTCACATCCATGAATATGAATGTGGGGTCACCTCTGAGAATTGTAAAACTGTTCCAAGCACAAGGATAAGTCAATCATTCCTATAGAGGAGCAGCTATTGCTGACGATTCAAAAGTATGTACAAATAAGCTAGTTGAGATCCCCTCTTAAGGCACTCAAGTGGAAACTTCACTTGGCAGCAGAATCATCAGCTTTGAATGCCATCATACTGAATGTAGCTCAAAGCAGTGAATTCTAAGTGCCACAAACAAACAAATGCCTTAAAAAAGTTAAACATTTTTGCATTATTTAGATATTTGCAAGATATAATGCATTTTCATTAAAAATGTTACAGTAAGGCAATTGTTGAATAAATATCCCACACTTCCTAACTGAATCAACAATCTATATCATGAAACAAAATGAAATTGTTTAACACTGCACACTCTGCCTTATATCCTGGCTGACTTACTGATTAGTTAGTAAGAAATTTGGGATCACAAACCTGAGATTTCTGGCGGGATTTTGCTGCACTAGGAGTCTTGAAACTGGATGGAGGCTTGACATTTTCTGTATCCCCTTGACTGTAAATATCAGTACTCAGGGACTTCTTTGTAGCAACAGGCTCTACAATGCTGGGCGATGGGCTTGAACTCTCGAATGAGGTTTTCACTTCTTGAATTGCACTTGTAGGTGTATCTTCTGCCACATCACTTTCTACTAATGTTCCTTGATTGCTGAGTTCAGCAAAAGTTACTTCAGGTGTTTTCTTGATTACTGAAAAAGGATCTGATGTTTCAGATAAACTTGTACTGCTACAAGAGTTCTGTGATGACTCATCTTGTCTATGAGTCAATATTGGATGAGACATGTCAATATCTTCAAGTGCTATTGCTGCTTCATTGCAAATATCTCCTTCCGTGGAACTATGTGCACTTTGAACACTGTGAACTTCTTGGACCTCCTTCAAAGTGACAGATGGATTAGCACAAGGAATTGAATCCCTTGCCTCCAAGCAAAGAGCCTTGGTCTGATTCAAAATGGGAATATTTTTATCAGAATCATCAGATTTATCTGACTTCTGGCTACATCCTTCAAGTTGCCAAGACTGGAGTTCATCAGGATCATGAGTGCCACTAGTGAGACTTGCAGCCACACCACTGGAAGAGGATTCACCACTTTCCTGCATGGGTGCTGTTGGATCTTGCATGATAAGTTCTTTCTGAGTTGCCTCTGTCAAGTCACTGATGGATGGCAAAGGTGAGATATCTTGTTGAACATCTTCATTATCATCCATCTGAGATGATATGAGTTCAGAAAATACACCCTCAATGTTATCCTCATCTTCCTCTTCTGTTTGCATGTTGGAGCTTTCTTCATTTGACTTACAATCCTCTTTCTTCCTTGAGTTAGCTGCACTTTGATCCAGAGAGTTTTCAGGAGAACTGATGGATGATACCTCAGTGGCACCCATTAGCACAGGAGACAAGGCAAACTCATATTCCCCTCTGTCTCTTGGCTCTTCTCTCAAGTCTGACTTTTCACCTTCCTCTTTATTATTGGAGAGGTCAGGGGATTTGGCAGTCATTACTGCTAGCACCTCTGAATCAGGCATTTCCTCAACCACAGATTGTAAACTGGTATTCATATCTGACGTCTCAATGAAAGAATCTTGTGGAGATTCATTTAGAGCATCAGGAAGTTCTCTTTTGTGCAAAGAAATATGCCCCTCACTAGCCTCTATTAGAGAGTTGAGTGGCATGGTATCAGGTAACTCTGATGCTTTGGGGGAAATCTCTGGAACGTCTGTAAAAAAAAAAAAAGAAGAAGAAAAAAGAATGGCATCACATTTTCCCTGTAGTCCCACCTCACATTACTTTCATTACATAAATATTATAAGACAATTGCTGATACAGGATAGTACTTGAAGTCTGATAACAGAAATGAGCCAAAACTGAGTAATATTGGTCATATGTTTACTTTGGCTATAGGTAGTAGTAGTAAGTAACATGGTTTGGATTCTTCTGGAACAAATTATTACATTCACAGGTACCATGACTGAAATATTTCTCAAAAAACAAAAGCAAAGGTGGGGGGGTTACATGGGTTCTTGTGCATCATGGAGTAGAATCCTTTTTAATAGAGGAAAGTTTATACTGATAATAAGTTAAATGGATTTCTGAATCAATCTCACAAAATACCATAAAAATCTAACATTAGTGCATAAAAAACTTCAATACAAACCTCCTCTGAAAAGCACAACTGTCTTCACTGGTATGGTAACTGATTTCCTGAGTTTGTGCTAGCATTTTACCTAGCCTTTTTGTTCAGGCATACTTGACTTTCAGAGGGTCCCAAAGTTAATTTTCATCAATGATCTGCATCAAAACCATTCTGCAAGGAGTGATGCTGATATACCCACTCTGATCAAATAATTATTTATAAGTCAAGAAAGTATTTTGATTATCACTTCCAGTCATTTCAGGTATAGTTGCCTGGTGGAAGTGGGACCCCATTTTCACAACAGTACAAGTTCCATTTAGTACAGGCGCTTCAACTACAAATGAACAGACGTCAGATTGGACAAATAAAATCACCATCCACTTCAAAATTTTTCAGGTAAATATCAACACTTAAGATTTTATATCAGATATTATAATTACATCTATAAAATTGGTCAGGGGTTCCCACTTGCCCTAATACTTGGGGGCAAGTTGGACCCCTCTCAGAAATGCTTGTATAGAAGTTACTTAATTGAATTTTAGGGTGACTAGCGTATAACCATGAGTCTTGAGTGATTGATATAAATCCTTGTTTTTCTCTAAAAGCTACTGTTGAAACAGCAAAAGTTGTTGCATGCAACCTGTCAACAAAACACATTTTTGACAATGAGAAGCTCAACCTCAGGGATGTTTCCCATTCCAGACAGCAAATTAAGAAATAATCTATTTGAAACTTCCTAGATATGCACGTCATCCTGTTGATTTTGCATCTTTGGAAGATAATTTGCAGCAAACATTTATTTCCAGCAAAAGTTAAATGAGAATAAAAGTAAATTCTAAATAAACTCAAGTGCAACTTGCTCTTGTGCAATTTAAAAATATGAAATTTTCAATAACTGCTGATAGCCTTGCTTTGGCTTATTTTGTTGATGATAGTGAATGTGAAATTCATCTAAAATGTGTGCAGTTGATCAACTATATCATTAAAACTCTTTCGATTTTTGGAATTTTCATTATTGCATTAAGTAATTTTGTATTATGTGACATCACTGCTAAAATTAGGGTATCAGCAATTAATAAAAGATTCATACTTTCCCCAAAGTTTCCCCATTGAGTTTTTCCTTCATAGTCACTTTTGTATTGCATCTCAAAAAGAAATTTCATCTTATCTTATCTAGAACGTGATTAGAATTAGTGTCAGTCAGCCAATCACTCATGTCCACATGGTTTGGTGATGGATGGAGGGGGGTCCCACTTACCCCAGATGGAGGGTACCCACTTGCCCAGCATAGTGAATTTTGCTGGGGCAAATTGGCTCCCCTTATGAATTGAGTATTAGCAGAAAAGTACCTAACTCACCCAACAGATTCAGTAATATAGTCTGAGTTTTTGGCTGAACATTGACTTTCCAAGGAAACTCACTTCAAGGTGGCTCTAAGCCTTATTCAAAATATCAGCCATGCACTCTTGTGTCACTTCTGTTTGCCATGATTGGGCTTTTGTCCCTGGCATTAAAAAAATGTCCAGTAAAGGAGGGTGGGATATATTGTGCAAGATAGTTTACTATATGATTGCTATGGAAAAACAGGTAACTTTCCCTTATAGCTAATGTAAGTTGAAAAAACAAAGGGGTTCCCACTAGCCCTGGGGTTCCACTTACCCCAGGCAATTATACCTTCCAGGATGAGGGATAGGGTTAGGGCAAGAGTAGTTCTGTCCATGCACTCTGTTCAGTGCAGTATACATAGTGGCTCAAAGCACCCCCAGTTTTGTCCACTTGCCCAAGGAGCAACTACTATTTCATTAATGTTTCTACTTCTACTGCATTTTGTGCAACACAGCCTAATAGCTCAACATTTTTGCACTGCAAGTAAATGGTAATCAGCATATTTACTAAATTTACACCAAAAATGAGCCATCTGCATTTCTATGCAAATTATCAAGCAGAAGAAGCACTTCAAATTTGTTATAACTACTTTTCAATAAAATACATTTAAAAGCATGGCCAATGGATCTGAGCCAACCTGTCTATACCTTATGGTCACATAAAGCAATTTCAAATTGATTAAGCAAAATTTTGGATCCACTTTATAATTTTTCAAAGTATGGCTGACTATAAATGCCTGAAACACAAGTATTCTGTAAAAGAAAAACACAAAGAAAATACAAAAATGAACATAGCAAGTCAGCCCAAATTCACAGTAATGCTATTATATGCTGCAGGGATACTTCAATTTCAATGGTCATAGTATTTCAATGAACTACAATGTAGGTAAAAAACTTCATGCTGACTTAAATTCACAAATTCTTAAAATCTGCCTTTTTAAATATGCAAACTGGACTATGTAGTATACAAGCCTATATAGAATAGCTGCATTTGCTCTGGACTGAGACATGCTACTCTCCTCCCCTTGCTTCACAGGGAACACAAGGGAATGATCACTCAAGAGTTGTCAGGTACATTTATAGTTTTTTTCCTGCCACCAATCCAATTAAAATTGGATTCTCTGTTCAGTAGTCCATACCTTTTCGTTTCATTGCCTTTAAAAATTTTTTTCCTTCTTTGCAAGCTGTACACAGATAACTGCATGCTACTGGATGTAATGCACAACATGCACTTTTTCTGTCAACTACAGTTCTGAGTATAAATCTAGAAAAACAACTAAATCCAGAATCGGGTATATCAAAGCAAAAAGGATGGTCAGATTCACACAGTTGTCATGAGTTCAATGGAATAATTAGCAAGAAAAAATTTGGATTCCCCATGAAAATTTGCACATAGGTTTTGGCTGAAATCCTCAGTGAAATCAAGAGCAAGATCAACCAAAATATGCTCCAAGTCCAAAAAGAAGGATTTTGCTTTCTCCTGTGTGAAGTTGTTGGCTCATGACAACCTCTCATCCTTGGCAAATGGAATCAACCCAAGAAGATCATTCTGACTACAATTCAAAGGAATACCTCACTAAAAGTGGACCAACTTTGGTCATGAATAACTGCACCATAGAAAGCCCATAACTGTACACCATAGAAGAAATGAAAATTTTTTCTCCAATCATTTGAAACAATGTTCCAAGTAACCCTCTCTAAAAGTTATGAGTCAATACTGGTTTTGGAACTCCCCTCCGTAATTTCACATATTCAGCAAATAAGTTTACAGATAAAATGTAGGATAAAAAAGCATTTTTGAAAAAAGGCCTAAAAAAGGGACCAACTCCATACGCTGAGCCCTGGGCATCATAGCATCAGAGATGGAGGCAAGTCATGAAACAAATTCCATCATTCCTTGAGCCTTTTAAAATTTGTAAAATCAAAACAGATGTTATCCATACCTGTATAGGGCAATCCATATATCAGAAGCTAAATGGTAGTTTCAAAAATAAGGGCAAGAAATTTGATCCATTACATGTTTTGATGCATGAATGCTTACCATCTGATGAAGAAATGGACACAGAGTCAAGCATCTCATCTGATCTGGATAGGAAGTCAGAACAAGGAGATGCTTCAATATGTGCTGTACCACTGTCCAGAAATGCCAAATCAGGAGAGGATGCTTCAGGTGCCTTTTCTTCAGGTTCCTCAGGGAGAGAACTGATGGAATATTGAACACTTTCTTGATTAGAGCAGAAAACCTCTCCTGTCACAGATTCTGATTTCTCTTTGTGTTTTTTGTCATGGGGAGAAGAAGGAGCGGAAGCATGGCTCTCCTCTGAAGTTTTCTCACATGAAACATTTGGAGGCACTTGAACTTGCAAGTCAAGTTGAGATGTGCTTGGGGAAGCAACATCTACTATTACTCTGTAATCTATCTGGGGGTCATTCCCTGAAGTCAACAGCTTTGGTTTCTTCAAGATAGGCTTGATCTTCATTGCTGCCTTGGATGAGGATGGGCGATACGTGAAAGTATCTTGTTCTTCATCTGCACTCTTCTGCCCCCAAATGGGCTCAAAATGCTTCACCTGTGAGGGATGATAGCATTTCAGCAAGTTTGACTCAAAATGTTGGAAAACTGATTCATCCCTTTTTATGAGATAAAATACTATTTGATGCATTATGATCCACACTAAAGACTTGCTTGAATAATAATGTCAAACTTCTAAGCTTAAAGTACTTCCACTCAAGTAATTCTAAACAATAAACATTTTCCTCCTCACTCTCAAAATTTTTTCACTAATAATTCATGAAGCAAATCCATGACAAAATGACTCAGCAATGAAAAATATTCATCATTTCAGTATTTTGAATATAACTGACTTCATGTTACCACAATATGAATAAAATGAACTTCATGCTTCAAAAACGTTACACAGTCCCTCCTGTTAAAAAAAGAATACAGGATAGCTCCTTTTACCTTCCATGGGTCAAGCTTTCCTCTTCTTTTTTCTGCTTCAACCTTGAGCTTCTGTTGATGTTCTGGAGTAAGCTCTCCTTGCTCAAGTCTATTCTGCCAGTCCTCACATGCCCGGGCAAAGAACTCATTATTCAGTGCTGATGAGCTCAAGCTGCATGAAGGTCCAAATTACATGTGTGACGATGCAATTATCCCCACTTTGCAAATGTATAATGAGAAGTAGAGAGGAGGACAAACTCACCGTAAAGTATGATCAGGACCAAGAACTCTGTCTACTTCTGGTAAAAGCTGGATGAGCTGGTACTGATACAATGGAGGCAATCTTGCAAAAGTATGCTTGTTTATCAGATCCCGAAGATTTGTGTGGACAAGAATGGAATCAGGAGTCTCCAGGTCCACACATATTTCTCGGCACTGGCTGATTTTTGCAGCAGCTGAAGTCCTCCTGCTCCGCTTACGAGAATTCCCGCTCAAACTCATGCCATCTCTATATTTCAGCTGCCTCCCTCCTGCACTTTCCTTAGCATTTGGATTGAAGGAGCACTGAACAACTTCTTTCTCCATCTTCCACACAAGCAGGAAAGACAATGATCCCACTTCACGGGCATCAAATTCAAACGAGCATTAAATTAAGTCAGCAGCATTTTCAACAATGCAGGACAGCACAACCTGTAGAATCAAGAAAACCTTTCATGTCATAAGTCTCCTAAGGTTCAAACAGGTTAGATATGATAGAACTATGCAGGGTGTCCAATAAGTCACTATACCATTTCAAACTGCAACATTTTCCAAACTGCAACAGCCAGATCAGTAGCATTTATGGAAAGAACATTCTCTAAAACTTTTTTTTTTCTTCACAATAATGACTTGGAATCAGACTCAAACAAAAATAGCTTCAAAAGCATGTCAAAAGGGTGTATGGGTGATTCCATGTCAGATCGACCGAATTTCCCATGATTTCTTGGTTGACCATCAGCGATTTTGTTGAAATTTGGTGTAGAGGTAGTGTTTGGCTCAAAACAACAATTCCAAAAAAAAAAATTTTCTGACCAAAAGTGTGTCCATGGCGATGTCACAAAATTCTGACCTATTTTAGTTGGTCTAGCTGACCTCCATCAGATTTTCTTAAATAACTCCTCAGCTATTTGTCATAAACTGTTCATTTTTGACTCCTTTTTAAGGTCTCTTTTAACACTATCTTGCATATTTCATTTTAAGCTCATATTCATGTACACCCATTGTATAATTAAAAAATTGAAGGCATTGGACCTTAGACCCTTCATATAAAAAATAAATAATTTTCCAATTTCACCAAATTTACAAGATAACAATAATAATATGGTAACAAAGCTCATGAAATTTCAGGAGGATGTTTGCCCCAATTTAGAGACAAGTGCAAAATAAGCTTTACATTTTTCATTTTTGGGTGCATTAATTTCAGAAAGCTCAATGTCAGATTGATTTGTTGCCTAAACATTATCAATATGACTTGTGGTACAGAAATAATTTAAATCACATGGTTCAATGGAGGACCACTTGGAGTGGTCCTCCACTGAAAGAGCAACAGTTCAGCTTTTAAGCATGTCTTCAGCACCCCTCCAAGGATTAAAATAAATTCAGAATGCACAAAAATCCCTTTCTGCTTTGCTGATGCAAAATTTCAGAAACAGGTGCAACCATTGCCAATACACTACTTGCAACTAAACTATTTGGGTGATATTTACTAGGGAATAAATTTTAAATGGAATTCTATCAGGCATGGGCTTTGAGCATTCTGCTCCTGATAACTTACATATCAAGATCACTACCAAAGTTTTGGGAATTCAGTACTATGGATATTATCTAGGTTCCAACCAACAGATTGAAGTCCCATTAACAAGGAAATGCACTCATTTTGGACTTTCAAGTCAAGGAGCCAGAGTAAGATGTGAGCAAGGTTAAGAATACAATTGCATATTTGTCTCCAAGGAAGGAGAGGCTTTCTAGTCTTGCCTAATTGACCTGGCCTCATGAAAGGCAAATCCTGTAAGCAGCCACATATAGAAATACAAGGCGTCTTTGGAACCTCTTTTCCTTAACAAATTACCTAGTTCAGAGGCAGCAAATTTGATACAGGTAGAGCCTTCCCCTCATCATTGCCCAGTGGAATCTCATTTCCATGCTTACATCTGCAGTGGGATTAAAGATATAACAAAAGGCAGAAATAGGAGAAAGAATTTATCAAGCATTGCCTCTCTACCCATAGCACACTGCCATAGCATATACATGTTTCTGTGTGTCAAAGTTACCACCCCCATCACATAGTAACCATTCCGGTTTTTCTTGTTTAAATAAAAAAAATACAGTCAGCTCTTGATCTAATGCCACTGTTGGCCATCACCAATTTTGGCATAACATGAGTGGAACCTCTGAAGGTCAAACTGACTAAATGGATGTGTAGCTTATATTGCCATTTTTTGTTCTATTGATTCTCTATACCTCTCCTATCCATATACAGAGTATTGCAAAAATAAAGAGCAACAACTTTTGACCTGAATGCCCAGCCCAGACTGGAACTATTTTCGCATAACATTCATCATGCCCACATGAGTATGTTTCCATCTGATTCTCAAAATTTCATCTAAATTTTTTGAGTTGATGCCATACCAATACCATCAGTAATTATTAAAAAGAGATTAGACATTGAGAATGGACAAGAGTCCTGCTGGTAGTAGGGAGGGCAGTCAAGAACTATCCTTCCTGGTCATTGAGACATCATCAAACTCCTTTTTACTTAATTCATTCTTTGGGCTGGTAATCTCTGGTAGATGAGCCTATTTATTCTCATTGAATAGCACATGAATCAACATGTATCAATCTAAAGTGCTTCCACCAAGGACATTTGGACTTTTAATTGCTTCTTTAAAAGAATTGTCCATTTTTCCAGCTAGACTTGTCATAGAATACTACTCATGACTTTGATGTGAATTAATGGATTTCGCAGTCTTTTTGATTTTCAAATAAATGAAGACATGCTCCATCCTCAGCAAATTTGGCAAGAGAACTTGAGAACCTGAGAACTCATTAGATATACTCAATGTCATCAGTCTTTTTTGCAATACCATGGAGACTCAGGATGACATAAACCAATGAACTTTGAGAAACCTCTTTGGATTGACACTCATTGATTCATATCCCATTAATTGGAAATAAGCTTATGAAAATCATTTGCAGGAGACAACCAGCCCAAAGAATAAATTTGATTGGAAAAGGAGCTTGAAGTGGTATTGAGGACTATAAATGGAAATGCCACAACCAGCAGGAGCTCTAGTCCAATCTCAAGGTCTAACTTCTTTTCAAAATGACTAATAGTATAACAGCTTTGGCTCAACAAATGTGGATGAAATTTTAAGAATCAGTTGGAAGCATACTTATGTAAGCATGGTGAATGGTTAACAAAAATGGCTCCAGTGTGAGTGGACATATTTAAGTTAAAAGTCCTTGGTATTTTTTTCCTTCAATGGCCTGTATACCAGTAGTCAGCGACTGAATTTCATGGGGGCCAGGGGCTGCACATTCAGCCCAACATCTATTATGAGTCATTATGGTGAAGATTTTAATGACCCTCTAATGTCAAACGTGCAGCCAAACACCAATTGTCAGACAATGATGTGCAATTCAATTGGGTTTCCACAGGTCGCATGTTGCAGACCACTTCTGTATATCCATTCCACAGCAAAGAGTCACTTCTCACATTAGCAAGAAACATTGAGCTGCATTTAGTACAGGAAAATGGTTGCAATATATATGGTACAAAATCTAGAAGGATTTAATTGGAAGAAAGGATGTTTGTACAAATGACGGTGTTGGCAGATGGCAGCTATCAAGAGTGGCACTACAACGAGGTATTGCCAATCATAACCATAGAAGGAAGATTTGTTTTGAGTAATGAGCTGGCAGTAAGCAAGGGTAATGCTTTGAGGATTGACAGTTCCTTCTCACTTGTGGACATATGGGAATAGTCCAGATGAATCCAGATCTATTAACAATTTTCGCAAACTCAATTACTAAAAGAATAGGAACCTAATCCCACTGTTTCCATCCTGAGAGTCTGTCTTCACCATACAGGAAGGAAACAAGGCACCACACACCTGTGGATACATGCAGAAGTGCAGCTCCACCAGGGACAATGATGCAAGGACGAAGAGAGGGACTACAGTGTCCATGGTATGTAGGGGGGGAGGGATCTATAGGCACAAAATATAATTGTGGAAGTCCCACTGACATCTTCAATGCTCAAATGAATATTATATTGCTCCTTACTCTTACTTAACCCTTTCACTGCTATGCCTGTATATATATGGGAGCTACTTCAAGGAGGTGCCATTCTTGATTTATATGCACTACATTATGAATTTTGTCAATTAGATGCTTATGTGACATCAAGACATAACCTTCATTAATAAGGTAAATCAGCATAATTCAAATTAATACTATATTTCATATAATTGACGATAGCCTGAAATAGCATAGCTAAAGGGGTGCCACCTAAAAAGGAAACTCAACAGTTAAAAGGTTAGAGTAGGAACAGGGTAGTGTGCATAGTAAAGGGGCAGATGATGTCAGCATAGACACTGATAGGTATCATATACAGGGTGGGCCAAAAAAAAACCACCCCAAATTTGAAGTTTAATAACTTGGGCCCCATTGGGCTAATATCAATTTTTTAAAAAGCAAAATGAAGCTTGTTCAATTTTCTTTTGAATGATATATAATTTTGGGGGGTTTGCTTCAGAGAAATAGCCGTTAATACAGTTTAAAAAAAAGTGATAAAAAAATTTCCTGAAAATGGGCTTTACCTCCAAGTTCCTTTTCCTCAACCTCGAATTTATCACTCACACACACACAGACCTTTTTAATGACCCAAAAATGGTTCAATGTGTCCTCCTCCACAATCTACAACAGCCTCATGTTACTCGCCTCATGATCGCATGATCTCTCATCAACCAATCTTTATCATGCAGGGGCGCGAGGGAGAAACAGGCGACAGCAACCACGCAGCATTGGAAAGAACTCAGGAAAGCTGTTTTTGGGAAAATTTTTTGTCACTTTTTTTAAAACTGTAATAACGGCCATTTCTCTGAAGCAAACCCCCCAAAATGATATATTGTTCAAAAGAAAATTGAACAAGCTTCATTTTGCTGTTTTAAAAACTGATATTGGCCCAACAGGGTCCAAGTTATTAAGCTTCAAATTTGGGGTGGTTTTTTTCGGCCCACCCTGTATATTGAAGCTTGGGAAGTACAGGAGTGCATGGAGAGCAGGTGTAGGTTCCTAACATACAAAAGCTAACTAAACTTTGAGGATGAGTCTCCCTCAAGGGCAGCCAGTGACTACTACAGATGCATGATATGTGATCCTCATGGTGCATAAAGGCAATGAAGATTTAAGAATTGCCAAGCAGATGACTCAGGAGTCTCCAAGATTTGGTTCACAAGATATGAATTCAACCTTTCATGGGTTTAAATAAGGAAACTTTGCTCCATATTCATCCCTCCTGCTCACTTCATTAGGAGGTCTTGAAATCTAAAGAGATGACTATACGACACAGCAGCAAAGACAAGAATGAGTGCTCCTCTATGAAGAGGTCGTTGTCTAAATTAGGTAACCACATAGTGTAAAAGATTATGGTATTCCTCTCATTGCCAGAGGTTTCCACTCCAAATTATCATAGTAGACTGCAATTCCAGGACATATATGCACTTGTTGGCACATAAATGTCTGTCTGACTTCCCTATTATCAAAAGTAGAGACCTAGCAGTGATGCAGGAATAGAAAAAAAAAGGGTCATCTCCACCAAGACAATGCACCAGCCCATCATGTAATGTTTTCCTTCAGGTTCAAATGAAGTACAAAGGAAAACGACAAACATTTGGATTGGCCTGCAGTCTATGACTTTCTGCTATTTGCAATTTTCAATCGCGCTCCTCCAAGTTTTATTTCATGGGCCTAGCAACCGACTAAGGTTTTACCATGATAAAATCTATATATACTATTATGTGTGTTCCGAACAAAGGCACTGTTATTGTTATTATAATTTTCACTGCCTGAATCAGCTCAAACCTTCGGATTAGCCAAGCTAACGTAGATTAGGTTAAATTTAGGCCTAGCCCATGATTATAATGGGCAAGGCATAATGTGAGGACTTGCAACCAAACAACAGTATGAACCACTCAACCCTGCAATCGGGTAAGTTAAAACGTCGGAACTTAGGAAGCCATGAAGCCAACTGGTGACGCCATTTTCGCTCGTCATGTCAGTTCACGATGCCAAAACCGTCGTGCGAAATTCTTCATTGCAACCGCTGAGTCAAGTTTAAAGTATATTAATCAAGATTACTGCCCTGCGTGGTCGTCATATTATAAATGGTGGATTAATAAAATTAGCGCAGAATTAGGCCTATTTAAATGTCAGGTCCTTATTCAATGTCAAGCAATCAAGAATATATAGGTTGCTTCCATTAATATGCCGTGCCATGTTAAGAGTGCATCAAACTCTACATATGGAATGAGAGCAATTATGTACAGCTAAAGTGTTTTTCACTTCAATTAGATACATTTTCACTTGACTTCGACATTCATGCATGAGGAACGTCTCGTGCACGTGTGCCTGAGACTCTGAGTCAATTGAAAAATTGTCTGACTCGAGTGAAAAACACTGTCAATGCAATAAACTCACTTTATATACGTCCACGAAAAAGGTAAACTTGAAAGTGAATATGACTGCCATGTTCAGGGGTATTCGAAGATCAATTTGAAAATCATCATGTTGTGATGGGCTTGAAATAAGCCCGAGGGCAAGAACAAGCTTTAAAAAGGGGTCCGAAGCCGCACTAGAGGGGGATTCCACGCCAGTTATACGGAGAAGTTGTGCCTGAGGATTCCAGACCGGGCGGACACCCAGAACAGTTGTATCTGGAGAAGACGAGCAACACAAGCTTTCCAGAGACTACCCGCCAGTGAGGGGCATACTCGTCCTGACTTCCTTCAGTACATCCCAGGATGTGAGAAGTGCATTGCCTCCATATCTACATGGTTATTAATATTGTTAAATTACTCTGTTGATGTTATAATAATCAGTGATCAAAAGGCTCAGGGTGTATAGTGACTGACTCCTTGTTATCAAATACTAAGGCCGTGGGCCAGAGTGATCGAGACTGCCTGGGTCCGAATCACCCGCTACCACTTACTTCCTCCACCAACCTTATTGCACAGGGATCGGTATCACATAATCATAATAATTTGCCAGCCTCCGAAGAGTAATAGTAAAAAGCACACACCGAACCTGTGACAATGTGATCATTCGCAAGTTAGCAAATTTAAGTCGTTCACGGGCAACTTATGTCTTCGAGAAGATGTCTTCGAGACATCTTAGATATGTTTTTTTTTTTGACGTCTTCAGTCGATATCTTAGAGATATCCCTTTCGGGCTATGTTTAATGCAACCTTTGTCGAATGCTTCTGGATATCCCGAAAGGAATCTCTTTAAGACATCTTCAGTCTGTCAAAACTGCCACAAGGGAGAGTGGAAAAGTTAAGTTATTCTTATTTATTCCGTTATATTCTCATTAAAGATGTCTGATGGGCATGTCTGGATACAACCATCTTGGTTGGAGACCTGAGCCCATATTTTTAGAAGGCGTGGGTCTAAAGACCTCTTCCATGGCTTTTCGTGTAAAAGTGCTTAGTTTTATTCCTTAGAGATGTGTCTCCTTTATTGGAGGTTTTTCAGGACCAGGATTTTCCTCCCTCCTTACGATCACTTTCCAATCGGTCAAGAACTTAAGATAAGGTATTCCAAGATTAAATATAGGCATCTTCGTAAGTAATGGGTTATCCTGTGTGGTAGGAAATAGGTAGTATGGGTGGTATATGGTTCCTTGGGTCATCCCTGGGATATGCTTGTGCTGTGTGGGTTTTATGACTGATGTCAGGTCAGTCCTTGACTCACATCTCTTTCCATGCAGGACATTTTTTATTTTTGCGAAGAAATGGAGCAATGTCTGAAATAAGGGGGCGGGGTGGAGTTCTTAACCATTGCCATGGATTGCCCAGGTGATGACATGAGCGATATAAGGCTGACTTTGCCTTGCAGTACCACACCATTGAATGAAGTCGACTCTTTTTCAAATTGGCTTACTTGAGCTTGCTCTTAAATATTTGCTAATTATTGCAGTGCATTACTGAAAATCTGGGTATTTATTTCTCGATATGAGTCAAGGACCCCGCATAAGAAAGACAGTGGGTGATAATTATTCATGAACAATAAATTTGCTGTCGGAATTCTCGATTCAGTGAAGCAATGGAAGACGTATGAATTGCTTGAGAGTGATTACGTTGAATTGGTGGAAGTAGTGCATAAAAGTCCGAAATTCAGTTGCTTGCATGAAAGTCCGGGAACTTTTCAGCCTCCCCTCGTCAGATGAGGAATCACAATACTTAGCCTTCCCAGAGGGAGGAGGGGATTAACCTGTTGAGGAGTGAGTTTTTGAGCGCGCGCTTTGCCCTCGGGAGTGTGGTTTTTCCGCGACTCGAAGGCTTTTCTATAATAGCATAGTTTGATGTTTCAGAGGCAATGTCCAGGATAAAACCTTTTGTTTATTTTAAAACATGTTCCGAAGTATGCTTAGAAAGGTTCAGTTGCAACATTTGCGTAGATTTATTGGAATTTGATCAAATTAAAATATCAAGTTTAATTTAACTTTTGAGTGATCAATTAAATTAATTTGATAGAGAGAGTACTGATTTATGCCAATTTTGATCTTAATTCTGTAATAATTGCTGAGGTAGACACGCAAAATCTTACCATTCACCTTCAACTACCATTTCCAAAAAATTCTGCCCAACGAAAACACATTGCCCAAGTTTTGTGTTTTCAAATCCAAATAAAAGTGATGGCTAAGGATCGTTTTCTGCCATACCCGCCAGGTATATGGATCATCTTGAAATCCTAATCAAATTTAATCCAATCTCGATCCCTTATTGTGCATCACATGGCCTCCTTCGGTACGAACAATGTATACCCAAAGTTGGGAAATTACTTTTAATCCCTCCTTTGGATTGCTGCTATTGTTGTACCTTAGCTTTCTTCTTGACGCCATGGCTAACAGCTCACTGATCAGCTATACCCTGTGCAAATAATAAATGCATTTCGTCACCCAAATTGAGGCATAATGTTGCTCATAATCCGTATTCCGGTTCTGCTTCCAAGCTGCAATAAAAAAAATGAATGAGATATTCTTAGTTGCCAATTGGAACAGTTGGTGATGCATCATTGTTGGCTGCATGGTCGTTGGAAACTGGCACTTGAAGCCAACCTCTTTACTGTCCCTCCAACTCCGTCAAACACTCCTTTTCCGTGGCAGGTGGCTGAGAAGTGCCTCTCACTTGGAAAACCAAAGCCTGCCAGTTGACGGCACAGATTAAGGAAAATTTTCCGATTTTTGTGGTGCGGAGTAGACCCATCAGAGAAGTAGATGATTTTTCGTGGAAGAGAACCAAATTAACCTTTAATGTTAATGTTAATCCAAATGCTCCAACTTCGTGGAAGTAGTCAGGACTTGTACCGTCTCACTTCCCTCTGTGGACGCTCGGAATTTTTCTTTCAGTTGGGTGGTGATTTCATTTTCTGACTTAGCCTTTGATCATCACCTCTGTCATCTGATTAAGTAACTTCCTCTTCAGAACACCCCCAATCTTCTTCAACTTCTCCTCTGGATATTTGGCTTGTGCAAGTTTATGATAATAGGATACTCTCCAATCGAATGCAAACTTTGATGAATTATAACGTCCTATTTAGCTCATAGGAGACTTATCAACCACGTTAGTATGACTCCTTGAACTAGGCTCTTATTGACTTGACATAGATGATGATGTACTCGACTCAGTTCCTGATAACATCAATATTCGGGAAATTTTCTTCCTGCAACCATCACATATCTTGGCTCCAAATGGTAGAGAAGGGAGTTCGTTACACATCCATGGCAAGACTGGCCTCAGATTCTTCTTGGATGAATATTTTGCTTTGCCAAATGGGTTGCAACAGGAAATCGTCCCCTGCAGTTCGTCCATCTCTCTCATTTCCCAATCAGGGACAATGAGGACGAATAGCACACAAGGTGATGTATACCAACTTAGAAACTGAGACATAAACGGATGAAGCAATGCTGAGGGAGCCTGTAAATAACCAAAGGAGAGTGCAATTTCTAAACATTTTTGGTGGGATTTTGGAACTTTGGAATACCTCTAAAACTTTCCAGAACGTTCCACAATTTTTTTTTATGGACGCTTCAAACACTTTAATAACTTTCTAGAGTACTCCTGATAGTTCAGACAATTCTATTCTGACTAAATTTTGTTGAAACTGGATGTATCCAGATATTTATTTCTCTTCAGAATTTTTGTCTATTTCTGCCACATTATTGTTCGTATCTCCTGATTCCACTCCCGAGTTGAAATTTTGAGCACTAACGCAGAAAGAACTGGCAATAGTACGATAATTTTTCGAAGGAAATAAAAATGACCTTTTTCTGTAATTAAAGGTCCTAAAGTGGCATATCATTTGAAAGATCGCGAAGAGACCTTTAAAATGACGCCAATATCTGCTTTCTATGTTGATTAGAACAAAAGTTATGCGCACTTAATCGATGACAACTTGACCCAAAATTGGTCACTTTATACTACTTTCATATTGCTACATCTCAGGAAGTACTTGAGGTAGAGAGCTGGAATTTGGCATTGGATGGTTTTTTCAATAGCCTCAACCTTGTGTTCGGCAAATTTCATGGAAATCGGAGGGGGTGAGGTAAATGGCTGTGTTTATTTGACCCATACTCTTCAAATGTACATTCTCCCTTTCACCATCCCCTCATCCGTCTTCACCGGGATACGTGAACGGATGTGCACGCAGTGATGTATTAATAGTTACACAGACATGCAATGTTCTTCATTGTGGCGATTTTCCAGTCGGTGGTGAACACTGGAGTCCCTGGCTCCTCCTTTTTATTTTCTGGGTACTCCTTTCAACAGCCTAATCGTAGACGTGTATCATGCATATTAGGTTGACCTGGAATGTTAATCGAGTGAATGTTTCCGAAGCTTAAACAGGAGCAAACCCTCGAGTCGAGGCTAAGTCTTCGGGGTAGACAAGTTTCCAGGATTGAATTATTCATGAGCAAAGAGCTTTTGATGGATGGGTTCAAGGAGTCGTGCAAATCTCAACGGACCTATAACGATCAGAAACTCGTGTGCTCCCCGGCAAGAGTTGAAAAATGAGAAAATGCCGATCCTCATCTTATATCGCGTTCATTCTCGGCAACGCTTACCCTGCATAGAGTCCATGAATACGGAATTTCTCACCTCGCGTTCGTTGTTTCCGAAGGGGATGCCAAGGTTGGGCATGGCTCGCAAGATGGCCACTAAACTCTGGATCGTGTTGCTATATACCACAGGTTTATATTGTTTGAAGTCCTCTTGCGTGAATCCGCTCTCGTGGATGATCCTGGAAATGATTAGGGAAAATAAACTTCTGGAACTACGTTTGGGTCTAATTCTGTCCCTCAATTCTCAGTAATCTGGGAGCAATTTGGGAGTTGCCATTCATACTAGAAAATGAACATTACCATTATAACATTACCGTTGAACGTTTTGAATGAAACTCTTATGATTCTGTCGCAGTGCCAGAGCTACAGCAATGCCAAAGTTCATCCTCGACCCCCCTAGTTTCCAAAAATTGTGGGCAAATTCACCCATCCTCNGATTTTGCCAGTGGGCGGCAAAATGGACAAAATGAAAAAATTTGCCGAAAGTTTGCTTCTTTGAAATAAAAAATGTTTTGAAACGCTATTTTGCCGCCCTCTGGACTGTGGCGCCCGGGGCGACTGCCCCACTTGCCCCCCCCTAGTTACGCCACTGGCTTTGACGAAGAGCGAGGAGAAAGAGAGAACCCTTGAAATCTAGGCTTATTCATGCCTAAAGCATTAACCCTTCTGGAAGGGGAAGAGAGAATTTACAAATTCATGAGCTTACTTCATCTGCTTCACAATTGTGCTCTTCCCAGACTCCCCAGCACCTGGTAAAGAAAATGAGCAATCGTCCTGAGGACATCCGCATGACGAATCGTACCGGATCTAGAACCGTTTTAAACTAAGCAAAGGTGGGGTTTATTAATCCTTCGATTTCACCTCAATCAGAAGGAAATAATATCTGCCAAGATAGTAAAGGCGTCATTTCGTGGATGAACGAGTTCCCGGTTGATCATTCCGCACTGGTTCGCCTTGTTCCTGGCGCCTTCTTCCAAGACGGAAAATTGTCTGCGGGGTTAAACATACCTCGTATATGGGAACGAGCATAGCTTCCCACTGGTTTATTGCAATCGCAATGAGTCTTCATTCGTTTAATATTGAGCGAGCTGCCTTACTGAGTCAGCAATTTTCAATCATGAGCAATTTTCGCAAATCTTTCAAGACAAGAATTCATTTGAAACCATTTTAACCCAGAGTTAGAATTTGATGGATCACGATGTTGAACTCAAGAAGTGGAGCATGTGATGCAGTGGATCCGACTGACGGGTTCACCAAATGGGCGGGATCAACTCCCGTACTCAACTCGGTGAACCGGGTAACCTTGGAAACTAAATGCTGATTATGGCCGCATTCTTGGTTAGCATTCAAACCCGCTATATTTCGTGAACAAACAAGGCATTTGTTGACGTCAAAGCTGATGCTCATGGTGTATTGTGCAGAAAATGACAGGACAATCTTGACAATCGCTCAGCAACACAGATGCTTCGGGAACCTTGCTGATTTGTTGCTCACCTAGCAAGATTAGCTTGATATTCTTGACAGCTTGGATCTCATCTTCCTTGAGTTTCTTATCGATCTGCCTGGAATGAACGATGGCCTCCCGTTCCCCGACTGATATAACACATCCCATGCTGGCGAGCGAGTAATTTGATGAAACCGACCACAATCCAGCACGACAATTCTTAGAAGAAATTCATGACGAGACTTGATAGGAAAGACGTAAAGGGGACACACAAAAAAGTAAGAACTCTGGCGAATGCGGCCGGCTGGCCTCCCATAGGCCTATCCTGAATGTGGACTCGGATAAAGCCAACCTTACTCTCGTTCCTCTCCCCTTCGCCCTCGCCCTTGTTTGTCAAGGCAACGACGTCAAGCCTTTTTCCTGTTAATGGCTGACGCAGGCATGGATTGATGCCAATGCAGCATGATGGTATTACCAAGATTTCAACAGATGGCAAACGATGTTAATTTCTTGTACTTGTCAGAAAGATAACCCGGAGATGTAGTGGAATACACGTCCACATATTTACATCGCAAAATTAACATTCCTCTTAAGACAAGCTGATGCACCTGCACTTGACATCAGTCATATGGCATGCATTTGACATCGAATACACATGATCTAAATGCATTATATACATGCATTTATTATTGAATACAATGCATAAATTATATATGCATTGCATGTAAAATATTTCAGAAGTTACATATTATTTCAATGATACTGATTATGTCAACCTGGTATAAACGAGTAGGTAAATCATTCGTGCGAAGTGACAAGAATCTCTCTGAAATAAATTCATATCGGAAGGGTTTGGATGGATGTAGACTTACTCTTTCCAGCTTCCTCCACTCAAGCAGCATTTTAATATCAAGATGATATCACATTAGTGATAATTTTTGCCAAACAAATATGGAAACGACAACAAATGCAATATCCATGTGAAGGCTTCATGTGAATGATTGATATAATTCCATAGGAACACAGCCAGCACCAAATTCATAAGCTAATCTGAAGTGCTTGATGGTCACAATTGTCATAGTTCAGTATTCATGTATATTTTCCTCATGCATTTAAATGCTTAGGAATATTGATTTATCACCGCCAATACGGAAATTAATTGGTAATATAGAATTTCACTCCTCTCGGCGTCTCAGGGTCGTTACTGCTGTTACATTTGAAATATCACCAATGGTAGGATGTCGACAGTCATGCTCAAGGCCCAGTGACAAAGGATTGGACAAACCTTTGATGGAGGAGGTCTCAAGAAAAAGGGCGTAAGTGCCCAAACGCCCCTTTTCTGTGTCCATGCTTATGCGTTGCTTTAGGACACTTGCGATAGAATAGGGTGATATTGAGATGGTATAGATTTGTATGTAGCAAAGGAGAAGACTTTCATGACAGTTGATAAGGACGTCCAAGCACAGCAGCACTCGTTCGTCCATTTCGGAACCTTTCTATTTACTCATACCTTTGTCGCGTGCACGGGACGCAATGGGTCGGATTGTATCAGTCAATCGAAATAGATACAAAGAAACGACCTATTTACACCAATTTCCTATGTGATTTCAGGAAATTCAACTTTCTTTAGAAAAATTTTCTGTAAGTTCTCTCAACGTCCCGCACCGGACAAAACTCCACGAGTCCTATCTGGTCACACCTGATCGCCTTTTCAAAATTCTCCAAAATGTTAGTTTGGAATTACCAGCAGAGATGTCACTAACTGTTCCATTGAATCCCGATCTAACATATATTTATTACCATTGGACCGATGTGCAAGCAGCCGCTACAGGAAATGTCCTGCGCCTATTTGTAACAATCCCACTGAAAACTTTGGAACGGAATTTTGAATTATTCCAAATGCTTCCTACGGAAAGGGACACAGCTTACCTCTCTCACTGTTGTAAATCCTCGTCCTTCAGTCTAGAAATACTATATCTAATACAAGTTAGGCTGGGAACGAGCTCTCGGGGAGGTGAAGATCTCTATTGAGTGAAAGAGGAAGGCTGAGTTTGAGCACATATTAGACAGATGTCTCACTGTTTCCGGCATCACTCGCAGAAACCTCTGTTTTTTTTTACTGGCTTCTGACGTTTCAAGGACACAAATTATTTTCTGCTGTCGTCCTTTACTGTTCAATACTTTATCTCCTTCATCTCTGTCCTAGTCCCTTTATTCGGAAAAAGTCCTACGAAAAAAAGTACATTACCAGTAGAATTTAAGAATTAAAACATGAAGAATGAAGACATGCACGAATATGAAGTTTCTTAATATTTATGTGTTATCGCTGGAATCTATGTCAGTACATAAAAGACACTTACCCTCACTTCCTCATATTACAAGGAAAGAAAAGTTCCGACCATACCAATTCAACAAGTTGGAAAGAATTTTTCGGTTGCCTGTGGGGCCAAGCAAAAGGAGCAGAGACCTTCCGAAACCTCCCACATCCCTTTGCTCACCAGGCCGAGAGGTGCATTTTCATAGTAATGCCGGCCCAGTCTACGAGACTTAATTGCTTCTCTTAGCACCTCCGGTTGCATCGGGTTCGTGTTTCTGCCTCCCCTTGGAAAAATTCTAGCTGGGCTCTCATCTTCTACTATCCTATTTCCATCCTCTCCCCTTCGTCGTATACCAATTATTTCGTTTGTTCTATCTGCCGATGACCTTATAAGAGGCTCGCAATTACACTTGTTTTATCTCGCCCCCCAACTCTTTTTCCCGAATTGCAGAGATTTCGGAGATAATGTAGTCAACGGCCAAGGCAGCTCAGCACCAAGCGATTCGTATACCCTGAGGTCGTTTTACCCAAGGAGGACTGGCTCTCTGTGAGTAACCCGCAACGAACCATAAAGAATGCCGCCTCCTTGATTTGTCGTGCACGACCTCTTACCCCTCGCTTCAGATTATGCATTCCCATCGTGGAAGATCTAAACTGTAGTCAGACTTGAATTAGATTACAGTCAAACTAGGTCATAATGTCATTGAAGGGACCAAGAAAAAGTCGTAGTCATAACGTATTTATTGATATTCCATCGCTACAGTTTCAAGAATATGCTGTATACTACTCTGGTGTACATTTGGTACATCTATCATACTATATTGTCTACTTACTCCTTGCTAAACAAGGAAGTTTCGTTGCTTCACGCGCGTTACCCAGAAGATACGTTCATCAGTACAACAATCCTGACCACTGCCATATTGTCCACGGCTAACGCGTCAACCTCGTGTAACTAAAAAAAGAAGCGTTAGAGCTCTTTCACAACTTGAATAGGTTCATATGATGTCGGCATGGGCTCTTAAGTATCGTCTCCTTCCTCTCTGTCGTCCTTGTCTACAAGTCGCAATGTCATTAGCAAATATGAATGAAAACGGGAAATTAGATTATCTGTCGGTGACTGAGGATTCCTCACTCACACTCTGCAGTCGCACTCAGACCCTCATTGAATGCAGATTCCAGGAAAGAGAATGGTATGGGTTTTCAATTGCCATGTTTCCGACGAAGGAAATTTCAATTACTGATGACGAATGATAACAACTAAGAAGCCTTATGGCGTCAATTTCGTCAGTCTTTAACTGACTTCGCTATAACCAAAGCTCTCGCTATAAACAAGGACGTCATAACCGAGTTCTACTGAAATTTTGCCGTCTCGAACTGGAAGCAAAACTGGCTTCGTTGATTCAGAAGTTTCCATAATTAAAGCCTCTGCGCGCTTGCCTTGGACTTGAGACCCAACAATAGACCATCGGATTAAGTTTCCTCGCCCGACACCGTGAAAAGTCTAACTTTGGCCGTACAAAACCTTTCCTTGCCTAGAGATCGATTAGGATAAATCAAGGGTCATTAAAGGATTGTCATTATTATTCCAGTTTAATTACTGAAGTTCGGGGTGGGACATCCCCGAACCCTTCCTCTCCCGGGAATAAACATTTCCGATCCCTTTCTCTCGGTATTAGAAGTTTCTGCATCCTTGTCTCGCTCCTTGCATCTCGGAGTTAGAAGTTTCATTGATTACGGTAGAGTCGCATGGGCCAGTTTGGACCCGATCAACCCGCAATCGATAGAAAATCCGATGCCAACAGAAATTCACTGTTCGGTCCCTCACCCGAGCTGGACCTATGCCAAATCCCAATGTCGTCACCTCTAATTCAAGACTAAGTAGTACTGGCACTGACATTCCTCCTCGTCCATAAAATGAGATTGTTGCTCCTGTGATAAAATTTGTAGGAAGGGCACGTGCCATGCAATTTGCATTGAGCAGACGCTCGATGCAACCTTCCAGCCCAGTTTCCACCTTTCCGTTTAACTACCTTTACTGCTGCACATTAAACGACACCACTCAACATTTGATGTGGATCACTATCAATTTCGTGGATAGCAATCAAGGTGATAAAATATGACACACATTGCATGCTTATACTATCGAGCCACTTAGTTGTTTGGAGATCCATTTGGATGGGGAAAAAATGATCCAGACTGCGTGACACTGCGTGATGTGCGATCACGCAGAGGACCAATTAAGAGATTACGGTTGCTTCTAACAGTGATCTACTCCAAATGTTGAGTGGTGTATTTTCGTTCGTGTAGATTGCATGCACCGGCCCACTTCAAGCCCGGATACAGGTTTTCTATACTCCAAAGACTAGATAAAGTATAATAAAGATTTGTTAAAGTCCATCCTGACCCGATCCGACCCGACCTAACGAGGAATCTCTGACATTTGGTTCCTGTACGACTCTAGGGTCGGGTTGGGCATGGCCGATCGGGCTAGAACGCAAGCTTTTTTGGACTATAACTTATGGGCCTCCTTTGTGAAGATATCAAAAGGAGAATGCCCAAGTCTGAGGCATTATCCCAGGACAATGAGGAGAGGACTGTATAGAGAGCGTTGCTCTCAATTGATTTTTTTGCATTTTGGGGGAGGAAACTGCAGCCAACTGGTGACTGTCAACTGTCAAAAGTCAAAGGAAACTGTCAGAGGAAAAACGTGTTGGAGCCGTCCAGGTCGCACAACACTGGCTGGCTGTCCGCTTGTAACTGGCAGCCTTATGTCACACTTGCCTCCAGAGTCTTGTCACTCCTATCTTGTCGAGTCGGCATGCCACTGGAGGTCCAGCTTCTGGAGAGACAACTTGTGGGTCCGTGACATGGATTTCTGGCAATTTCCCGCTCACGCCGATAGCTAACCGCCACTCCCAGGTAACGCAAGACATCCGGCGTACGTCCGGAGTATATCTTCAGATCCTGTGGACATACTGCGGACATACGTCGGATGTCTTGTGTTACCTGACACTGGGCTGAAGGAAGTGCGCTACCTGGGCGGCAGTAACATTTGGTGCATTGACTATCTGGACCAGGACTCAGCGTGGCAGAACATCGGGATCAGGTTGTATCGTGCAAGCGGTGCAGATTTTGCACTCACGGCTTTAATTGTGTTCATCGTAACGCTACCTTAGTTTTATTCTTTTCTTTTATTTGGAGCTCGAATCACTTCTGCCCGTTGGCTTTGTTCCTGGTTCCGATTCTCTCTCATACGGGGCCTGAAGTATGGAATTGTAGGAGATTGTTGTTCGTACCAGTGTCAGTTGTTCTGCAATGAATCCCCACTACGCTCAGAAAGCAGAAAAGATTGAAAAGAAAGCAGAAAATAAAGAACGGATGTCAAAAGTAAGAGGAGCGAAGAAGAAAAGTTCCATTGCTAAAAATTGACAAAAAGAATAGAAGAGGAATCCTAGAAGAAAACCATGCCGTAAGTGTGATGCATATTATAAATCCATTGATAGGGTGGTTGGACTATCGAGCCACTTTCCTACAAGCCTTGAAAACAATGCTTAGACCCAAGTGCATTTTCCATGTAGCAGGTGTAGCAAGTTCACCAAACTAAGGTTTAACATATAGCGCACGGGGGAAAATGCATTGAAAATTGCCACGAAAAATTGTACCCCGTCGCACGTCTGTCTGTCCGTTTGTGTGTCTTTTAGCGCTCTAGCTGCCAAACTGTTAAATATTGGGTTCTTAAATTTTCTCACTCCCTCCTTAGCATCCGAGGATTCGTATAATTAGACTATCTTTCTCCGATATACCGGTTTCCTTTTTCTTACGAAAAACAAAATCTTGGATTTGGAAGCAAAAGCGATCTATCGCTCCTACTGGCGTCATGGAAACCATTAGATAGAGATCGACTTGAAAAATGAAAATTCTATGGGCTCGATCCAATCTGGGTCCGAGTACAAGGCCTGGCCAGCTATCAGGCCAGCCATCTAGCATTGACTAGATGAAACAAGGTTTTCATAATAGAAGACAGATGGCGAAGGAATCACTGTTGTAAAAAAAAGTCCCCAGGGAGTGCAGAGACTTCGCATCAGCTGAACGTGAACTACACGGGTTCTCCTCCCCTCGAAGGCGGTTTTTCCTGGATGACACCATGAGACCCTTCGACGAATTTCCATTCAAATGAATACGTGAAAATATGAGTTTATCAGTGTACCTTTGGCTTGCAACTCCTGACCCCTTTGGTTAGATCGAGCCCGTAAACATTTTTATTTTATCAGTTGAAATATATCTAATGAGTGACTGGTAATATCATTGGATGCGATTCCATTCGTCGTCATAGTCATGAAGGTGGTTATGGTATAGGCACTATGCAATGCACTCCATATGGTTATCGCATGGAATGCAAGAAACCCCTCATTCCACCCACTTAACAAGCGCTCAATCAAGCCCATTCCTCGAAAGCTATTTCAGCTGCGCCTTCAAGGCACGGTTTATGTTCCGAAAATGCATTCCTCTGAGACTTTGGTTGTGCCAAAAGTAATTTGGAACGAGATCTTGGCCTTACAGTAGTTGGGAACAGTGCGAATGTCGTTTTTGGCCTGCCTAGTCGCTGACGACTCGAGATCTGCGACAAGATGCGTTCTCGTGTTCGTGCAGCCATTTCCTCCTCTCGGTTCAGGTTTTTTTTATGTGCGACAGGTGCGAGCCATGCACCTGTAATAATTCAGGCGGTTCCTGCACTTTCTCATGACTTCTTGAACGTATGGAAGCAACTTCATCCTCGCATCTGTCACCTATCGTCCTACTTGCCCCGCGAAGAGTAATAAAAGATGCTTGAAACTTTATTTGTACATATTTCGACTTTCTTCGAAATCCAAAAGTCTTTGGGAAGAACAAAATCCCTCTTAAAAATTGTTAAAAAGTTCTCGGCACGATCGTTTCGTAAACATGAATGATACATCTGGCAGTAACCTGGCATAGTTTCACGCTACAATAGGCATATCCTATGGTGAATTGAATGGCGAGGTGGAAACAGTGAAGCGGGGACCTCATGTGCCAAGTAATGCAGTCTCAGAGATTCCCTGGAAAGCCTGAAATATCACGCAAATATCTAAGATATTAACATATCCGTTGGGCGACAACCATTCGATATCGGTTGTATTGCCTCGGAAAGGCCAACTCCGATAGGTATCTGTCAACATTTATCCGTCTCTCCGCTTGGTCTTCGTAGGGCAATGGAAAGGGGGCAAGCTTCACCTTCTCAGAGGCATTCAAGTGGAGTTTCACCGTTGCATCTGAGAACAGCGTTAAGACTGATTGTAAATCACCTGTCTCTGAAGGAATTGACGTGGAAGCTGAACAATATCAGTTCGGCATGAAACTACTTAAAAAACCAGGGCGGATACAAAATGCGTTGACTCCCTGCCTCCCCTACCAGCAGCATGTTATCGTCAACTACAGCGTGAATTTCATTTCATCCTACTGTACCCTACAGGAGTTGAGTATGGACATAAAAAAGAGCCGATACATTGGATATTTCCTGAAAACGAGAAAAGTTTCGAAGCAATGCAGGTTTAAAAAAATGAAAGCATACTGAAACTATTGTATTAAAAAAGAGTTTGCTGCTAGGGTTCGCCTGTGAAATCGCACCAAAGTCAACAAAGAACTGATCCTCATCACCTTTTTCCGGAATGCCTTGTAACACTCAAGATAGAGCTGGAACATTGGGGCAAGTTCCAAAATAAGTTCGGTTTGCTAGGTAAGACCAAAAACGATGACCCGGAAATCTTAAATCTTTTCCTGAAATTTTCGGTCTTTTTTGTGAATTTTTCCTCTGAGGAATAGCTGAAAGGATTTTGTGTGGCTCGAAGAATTAGGTGAGGGATCTCCGAACACGTGCATCGATTACATCGCGAACCGCTTTCAGAGATGCTGCCATGCAGTTAATTGAATATAAATGAAACTTTATTGCCTTGCTTCGTCTCGTCAACACCTGGGAGGAACAAGAGAAAAGGAAAGAGACTTTATGAAGTGTAATCCTGAGAGACTTATCCACCAGAGATATAATCGCAAAACTGTTCATACGTTTCTTCGTTCCTGTTTCCGGAAGGCTCTCCTTTGGGAAGTCTCTTCCGCGCCCTAGGATCAAAGGACCTTTCTTCCGGATTTGTGCCATGCAGCTTTGGATGTTGGACATGGATAGCCACTCCCCCTCCCCACATCCTAAACCGAGTTTGAGAGCAATATATTTTTTGGTTCATCATTTCACTTCGATTCCAATCAACCCCATTTTGTTTTTTTTTTTTCATATAACAAAGGATAAAAAAGAAATTGGATTCATTGATCGCATAGTGCAATAACGTCTCGAGAAGCTCACGATGCCGGAGCGGAATTCCCTACCCATTCATGCGTTGCGAAAAAGATAAGAACTATTTCTTTGGAAATGTGGAACGGCCTGGAAGCTCCCTTCATTTGAATGGGGCTGAGAACATTGGGGTTATTCTGAAGGAGTGGGGAGGCATTCCAGCTCAAGCGATCAAATAGCGGTTGCGCGTCCGATTGGGCGATAGCTTGAGGAAATTCATACATTACGACTTCCCCGACTCGCAAAAGAATCACAAATTTCAGCACTTTGAGATATTCTGCCCCAAAGTAAGCCCCCCCCCCTTGAGGAAAAGTCACTGCTATTGGTCAAACTGCTATTTTTGCCCGTAATTGGGCGAGAAAAGAGTTTTTGGGCTCAAGTGAAAGATGAGACAAAACTCAATCAGACTTCATTAATTTCGCTTCTTATCTTTGTTACAAAGCCGTGAATTTTCAACACTTGCAAAAATGATATTAAGATTTCGAACAATAGGAAACACGGTAACACAATGAGCTTTTGCAACTTAGTAATTCTGGTAAATAAAAATAAAATAGCTAAATTTTAACGATTGGCTTTGTTTCAAATATCAGGGAATTAAAATGTGACATTTTATCCATTCCCTTTATTCCTTTTCTTATTTTCTTGTTTCTGACAAAGTACACGCTTGAATGTAATGTTTGAGTTTTTTTTTTATACTGCGAGGAGTTGAGAGTCAAATCACTTTCTCAGGATAGCATTCAGTGCCATAGATATGCTGATCTCGGAAAAGTGAAAGTACTAAATCCTGAATCTGGGAAAATCATCAGACTGCGGATTTCCTGACGGTTTTGTAAGAATGGTCAGACACACACGACGATTGTTGACCAGCAATGCTGGTCAAACTGGATTGAATACAATTGAACAGAATTGAAGATATTTAGCTTTCTTTTGTTGAAAACCGAATATTTTTGAAGCGAGATGTAGAACAGTGAAAATGAGACGCAAATAAATGTGCTCACCTTCACTCATCGCCTTCAACGCTTCCAATGTGTCCTAGTGACATGTTGAAGGCGTCGAAGGCGTTGAAGGTGTGCTCCTTCTCGACGCCAGCACCCTTTCAGACACTTAGCAATATTTCCTACTCGTGACTGAGTTGTTTCTGCTTTGATTTTTAGAGATCTCTGTCCAGATTCTCTGTTCAAGTTCTTGATGAGACTGAGGCGTACCTGGTCGGTAGAGCTGATTCTTCTAGTGACCCTACAGCCAGAAAGCTAATGGTGAAAGATGAGGAATTTGACGAGACCGTGGGAAATTTGTCTTTCTTCAGATGAACTTGAGCCCAAAAATCTCGCGAGGGAATGCCATCGCAAGGTGCGATGTGTGAGGAGTTGTGCCGACTTCCTGGAACCACATCTGTTCTGCATTTGGGAAAACCAACATTTTATGGCAAAAACATCTGCAAGATTTTCCTGTAACGCTCTGCGTTTACACCTGCAGTTTGTCCGTTTTCACGTTAAAAAAAAGAATGATTCATTGTTCCCATGCATGGCATTAACAGCACAAAACATAGCCACTTTAGAAGAAGGTCTCTCTTAAATTTCATCTGGTTTGTGGGTGCCCCAGTGGACTGAGTTTCTTCAGCACACGAGTCCATTCAAATGGAAACGACTCATCTGAGAACCTAATGGAGAAGAGGAAATCTGGATCTTCTCCGAACTACTTGAGAAACGTTTCAGAAAACGTTCTCCGCGAACGACTTTTCCGCACCTGTCAATTTGTGTTTAACTTGGATTCGGTATGAAACATTCCCAGATCGTTCCGCCAAATCCTTTGGCAGCTTGCTCTTGAAAAGCCAGTCTCTCTGGAGAGTCTTCTAATAGAGTGCTTTGGGGAACGGGCGGGCGCAACATTCTTCTCACTTCTTGCACTGCGAGGAGTGCTAGAACGGCAGCGATTCTGGTTTTGGGCACAATAACTTTCGCTTAAATTTTTAATAATCCTCCATAGAACTACACAAGAGAAAGAGTTTTGTTTTAAAATGTTTGCTTAAACAAATATCAAACACGGGCACGGAGTAAGGATCCATCCTTCTCGCTATTGTGAAGAATGGTCACCTATTAGATTCTTTCATGAGTTCGCTGCGGCATTTATTATTATTATTGACGAATGCCCAAGAACCGGCAATAGAGTGAAGAGTCCACGCTTTGGCAGTATGACTGTGGATGTGTACAGCTTCCGCTATTGCTTGCTTTGCTGTATTCTCTTATATTGGCTGCTCACGGGGGTCAAATAACATGCCTGAAATTTCCATATGTCTTTACACATCTCCTTTTTGGGTCATCGATCTTCGTGCAATCTTCAGCAATGGAAAGCTTAATCACTTCTTGTTTCAACTGTCGAACATTTTTTTCATGCAAATTTAACATAATATTTCATCGTAAAAGAAAAACCTTAGCGTTGGGACATTCCCGGCTGGAAAAAAGAAAATCGCGGGGGAATCATGAACCCATTCGTGGTAGAGTTACACATGGCCCTCTTTCTC